GTTACATGTGCTGGGCTCTGTGCTTCTACTTGGTGCTGCACTAATTTGTCACCTCAAGTTCTCTTCCCAGTGCTGGATGACACCATCATTATGGTCTGTTTCCCCGTGAGGCTGCCAGGTTGAGGTTTCGATGGTGGGATGAGAGGTCCAGGAACAGGTCAGGAAGTGACCAATGGGAGGACAAGCCCCAGCGATGGTTACCATTCCACTCTTCCCCGGAGACCGAAAGGAAATGCCAGCCCTGTGTAAACAAATTCACATGTAACTTATCAGGGCAAGGGTAAAAGATGGCTGCAGCAAAAAGTGCCTGCATGGCGCTCCAGAGAGCTCCAAGACTTGCTATGGTGGGGGCTGGGCTGGAGTCCTAACCAGGAATGCATGGACTCCTGCTCAGCCTTTCCCCAAACCTCAGGCCTAGGGTACCACGTCACCTGTAACCAAAGTCCCAAGAACATTCCCAGGAGCTGGAATGCTTCTTCTTCTGGAAAGTCTCCAAGGTTCTGTGTGGAGCCCCTGCTTTTCCTATGGAGCATTGCTGGGGTAAATAAAGCAGACCCAGCAAGGTGACCAGAAGGATGTAGAAGACTGGGAGATCTTACTATGCTGGGGCCAGTAAAACAGAGTAAGGTGAGATTAAGGAACACACATGCCTGGTGTTCCTCCCTGCTCCTATGGTACTGACGTTGGTCTTTCTATTGCTGGTCAGGGATGCTGGTGACCCAAAGTACCACCAGCACATACATCCTGATTGTATCGAGGGCGGAGCCCTTTGCTAGGCATCCAATAGAAGGAGTCAACCCACTCATTCCATTCACATGGTTAGCTGGTCTCACCTGGATCTGCCGGCCTTGCCTGGCTCCACTCAGAGACGCTTGATACTACCTCAGTTTCCCTTTCTGAATAGCCCCTACCCTCTAATCTCGATCTCACCATTTCCAACTGTCTGACACATCTTACTCATTTACTTGCTCATCATATGCCCCTCTCCACAACAAATGTAAAAACGAATAAAATTAAACTGGGGGGAAGATCAGAACTATTCCTTGGTTTCATAGAATGAAAAGGCAGGACTTCTTCTTTAACAGTTATTAAGATTTTAAAGACAGTGACATTAGAGCATTCAACTAGAGAGGGGTTCTTTTCATAGTGAGGTCCAGGAGCCACCCTGGAAGGGACCCTGCTCAGCCCTGACTAGGTCACTGTGGTGCCCAGAACAGTGCCCAGCACACAGCTAGTGCCCAGTGCATAGAGAGGAATAAGTGTCACCATTCTGTCATTGCCCCACCACTCTGGGTGGCTTTCTCATTTCCCCCATGGGCAGAAGAAACCCAGCAGAGGAGACTAGATCTATGGATAAGCCCAAAGGTTATCAGCACTGTTTCTCCCAAAGTGAGGCAAAATGCCTTCTATTAAGTACTAGTTGAATGAATGAATGAACAAAATACCTTATTAAGTACTAATTGAATGAATGAATGAGCAAAATATTCAAAGTGCCATGGGGCTCAGAAAAGGGAGCGATTACTTTCATTGTGGGAGAAGAGACTGGGTTTCAGGAAGAGAGGGGAACTCAATTTCTAACAATAAATATATTTAAATCTACCAAGTGTTTAAAGCCAGCCTCCCCCTTTTCGCGATGCCCTTTCCCTTTCTTCTCTGGCTTGAGTTGAGATGTCTCTCGGAGACCTCTGGCAGCCCCAGGGCAGCAGGGTTAAGCCAGTGTTGGGCTGGGGTGTCTATCCCAGTGAATCCGTTAGAGTATGAGCTCCTGAGGCCACACGGGCATGCCATGTGCACCTCAGTCACCCCAAGAGCCAGCCATGAGCTGGGCACTGGTTGTTGAACTCTAGTTCAACAAGGCTCCAGGGTGCCTTGGCCTGTCTAAGAAGCAGAGTATGCGAGGATCTTGGTGAGGGAGGTAACTAGGAATGAAATAAATCAGGAGGTGAGAGAGTCACAGTAGGCAAGTGTTATCATCTCCGAATATTCTAGAGGCTCATTTGGAAACATGAAGGTTATGTCCAGTCTGGATGAGGTCCTGGGTGGTGAAAAAAGACTTGCTCCAAACTTGACCATGCAGGTCCATTCTCTTTAACAAGAAATCACTTCTTGGAAAAGCTCTGGATTTCTAATTACGGTCTTAATTATCCTGGGAGTTAAGGGTGGGAGTGTAGCTTCAATTTATTCTTGGACTTATTTTTCAAATAAAAACTTAAAGGAGGGAACTAGCAGGTGACATAGAGGTTAAAGGCTGAACTCACATGTGACTAACCAAGGTTCGCATCCTGGACCCGGCAGCTTGAAACTCATGCTAGGTAAGTGTTCATGCATACTCAAAATCCCAAGAGGAGAATAGAGGAGAAGGGATTATGGCATGACAAGGCCCCTAGGGAGTGATTTCTCACTTTCTTTCTGTCTCTGGTCAGCACACATGCCCTAATGGCAAAAATCTCTCAAAAACAAAACAATGATAAAATTCAAAGGATACTGTCCAGTGAGAGTGATGTTTCATCTCTACCCACCCCACTCCCTGGCCCTTGTCCTCTGCTCTCCAAGATGTCTGCTTCCTTGGTATCCCCTGAACATGATAAGTTAGCCCTGGTAGATCCTCAGCTAGTACCAGAGCTGGAGCATGGGTGCCAGAGGATGTGGGGTTGGGATCTGGCAGAGGAGCTGATCATCACTGGTTCAAAACCCTCCTCATGCTTTCTCAGTGAGTATGAGGTCACAAATTGTTGAGGAGCTGGGGAATTTGGCTAGTTGGTCCTTGGCTTCTATGGGCTTTCAGTTACTCATTCATTACTCAAGGAGTTGGCTGGGTGGGTTATGTTGAAGCCTGCATTATGTGAAAGATATTGTGAGGGTTTTAGGACCATTAGATGGCATAGTGGTTATGTCATGGGACTCCCACATAGTTGACCGTGGTTTGAGTCCTAGCACCGGTGGCTTAAAAAACTCATGCTGGGCACATGTGTATGCGTGCCCAAAATCCAGAGAGGAGAATGGAGGAGAAGGGATTACAACATGGCCATCCCTCCAGGGGGTGATTTCTCACTTTCTGTCCCTCTGTTTCCCTGGCAAGCACATGTGTCCAATAGCAAAAATCTCTCTCTGAAATAAATAAATAAATAAATAAATAAATAAATAAATGACATTTGTGAGGGTTTCAAGAAAATCCACACAGTGACCTTGCTTGCAAGTGAAGAGGCCACTGTTCACTAGGATGGGTGACAATGCTGACTATGTTGTCAGGATAATGGGACCAAGCAACACCTGAGTGAGATGCAGAGGGCAGAGTGCAGTCATAGGGAGGAGTAAAGCCCTAAAGGCCACCCTCAGGAAAGGCTTTCTGGGTATCCATCAAGTCCAGGCCCAGAAATGAGCCTATTCCAGAGGCCTGGCTCGATAGCCAAATATCTAGCACATTCAGTTTCCAAATGGGCCCTTCCAACCTTGGGTCATACCCTTCTCCCCAAGCCTGATCCCACCACCTGGACCACTGTCTCTCGGGGACACTCTAGACAGCAGCAGAGGGAATGCGAAAGTGGAGGTGGGCAGCAGGGGGTGAGTGCAGGGTGTTGGGAGAGTCGCCTCCAGACCAAAGGAGTCTTTGCTTTCCCCAAATTAGCTCCAATTTCTACTGGTTGTAGTGGCCAGATTCATTCCATGTAGTTCATTATTACAGCCTATCTGTTTTATTTCCCCCCCTCCCTTCTCCTGGAGACTAGATTAGATTCTCATTCAAAGTCTGAGGGGTGGGGGCAGAGAGCATTTATGCAGATCAGTCTCTGTTCGGGCATCAATGGTTAACCCGGTAATATACACTTCTATTACCCTCCGTGGAATCCTCGGAGGATCAATGGAAGGGTTTAACTACCACACGACGGAAAAACATACATTCCTACTGCCTTCGAGCAGCCATCGGGAGCCTGTGTATATGTTTCCCTCATTATTTGGATGTGCCGTTTGAATGTTGTGATCAGTGATTCAGTGCACATGATTCATCAGGAAGACATTTGCTCGGCAGACATGTGAGGAGCTGTCTGCCTCTTCAATCTCACTGACAGGGCAAAAATGCTGATTTATAGTAAATCATTAAAATCTGCTTATTATGGCACGGCTTGTTCCTCTTCCCCACTTCAAGCCCGCAACTTGATCTGCATCGTGTCTCTTACAATTTTATACTACAGCAAGCAGTTATTTAAACAAGAGAGGAAAGATCTTTAGTCTTTATTAGCGCATATGAAAGGATATTTTGTTTAAAGAAGACTAATTAAGAATGCAGACGATTTTCTTGCTCAGTTTAGGGGGGAAAAAAATAAAGATTTAAAACGTCTAAGCGGAACAAAGAATTACTGTACTAAAAACAATACTTAAAAATGATGATTTGGTACATATTTTAAATAGTCGTAAAATATCAGTTCACATGTTGCCAAAATTATCAGGGAGGCAGGGGCTCGGGGCTGGTCGCCTCAGAGTTTGGCTTGGAGGGAGGCCATGCGAATCTCAAACATAAATGAACACCACCGAGAAGATAATGCTGTGATTGTGTTCCGCTCCAATATTGTGACAATGGTTACATTGCTCTAAAAATCATTCGGAAAGTTTTGCTTTTTAGAGGGAGAGATTTAAGATTTGGTAGAAATGTAATATGGGAATACATTGCATGCCAGGTAAACAAAGAAATAACACAAAGAGGTCCGTATTTCGTATGTGTTACTTACAGTAAAAAAAAAAAAAAAAAAAAAAAAAATTAATTTGATGCCTGGGGACAAAATTCCTTGCCACTGAATTACAAAGAAGTGAATAAACTGACTCAAAATTAATCCATACAGATCTGTCCCCTTAATAAGACTAATTCCAGAGAACAAAGCAGAGCATAATGCATTTTAAATTAAGTTGGAAAATGCATAATTTATATTTGTTTTATTTCTTCATATTTTAACACAGGTGCGTTCCAGAATGCTAAGAGCCAGAGGAGAAGGGCATACTTCTGTCCGTGGCTTTTCACTTGAAAAAAAACTGTACAAACGAATATTTCTTTCGTTGTTCGCGACGTGGGAGCAGAACCAGACTGAAAAGATGAACACTGTGAGAATGAGGGAAGGGAGCGTGTTTGAGGAACATTCATTTTCAGCCCTCCTGATTCCTAAGACGACATTCAGAAATGGAAAACCGAAAGTGTTTACCTGGATGAAGAACACGTTTTTCTTTGTCTCCAGTGGAGGTTGGAGGAGCCTGAGAGGACTGGGAGATGATCTGGAGACACCGCAGAGGACGCCATCTGGAGTGGAAGCCCCTCATGCGGCCCAGCTCACCCACGGAGGAGTGTTGGCCCGTGACTGGACTAAGGGCAACCTTCTTCTCCTGGGAACTCGAAACCTCTTTTTTGCTCCCACTTTTCTAGTCTCTATTCCCACCCCAGCTTATCTCTATCCCAACTTTACCAATCCACTTGCTTTCAGTTTAGCTGAACTCATGACCTCAGTTTAGCTTAACTCGTTATTAAATTGTGTGCTGTGAGGGCTGGCTCAGTGGCGCGGTGGTAATGTGCACCTCAAGTGATGCTGGATCCACGTGAAAGGTCACGGGTTCAGTTCCCGGGTTGACTTGTACAGGTGCAGATGCATGGACCCATAATCATGGCTACCTGGGAGGCTCTGGGCAGGATATCTCTGTTTAAGACACTATTGAAGGAGCTTGTCTTCCTCTCTCTCTCATGAAAGAAAGAAACTTAAAAAACAAACAAACAAAAATAATAATAATTAAAAAAACAACCTTTGAATTGTGTGCTTTTGGGCCAACTCCACAGCCTAGAGGTTAAGGGAACTGAGTCTCACATGATTGACTGCAGTTCAAATCCCAGCCCTGGTGGCTTGAAAACCATGCTGGGCATATGTGTATGTATGCCCCAAGTCATGACAAGATAAAGAAATAGAAGAGAAAGGATTACACCCACTGGGGAGGGTGGGTGTTTTCTTCCCTTTTCTCTTTGTCTCTCTACCTTTCTCTGGTGAGCACATGTACCCTCTAGCAATTCTTAAAAGAATGCACACTTCTGTTTCGTTTTGTTTTTAAATCACAAATTAGACACAGCCTAGATATGACTATTAAAATCAAATTAAACCCCTTAAAATTGTTCTTTAAAATCAATCATCCTTTAGAGGGAGCTTTGTAAATAACTGTAAGAAAAATCAAGATGAAAACAGAACCAATCCTACTTAGTTACTGAGCACCAAGTAACGGGCTGAGCTGAGAGGTCTGTGTGCCTCAGCTCATCTGTTAGTCACCAAATGACTCAAGGTGGCATAGTTCAGGCAAGTTATTGAGCATGTGAGGCCCAGAGTGGTAGAGCTCACCCAGCTCTATGTGAGCCCATACCTGTGACCATCCTTCACAACGATCTCTCAAACCTGAATAGAAACCAGACACCTTCTAGGGACCAGCAGTTAGCGTAATGGTTATGTCACTGGATTCCCACGTAGCCCACCGTGGTTCGAGTTCCGGACCCAGTGGTAAACTCAAGCCGAGCACATGTGTATGTTTGCCCAAGATCCCAAGAGGAGAATGGAGAAGGGATTGTGGCGTGGCCATCCCCTCTGGGGGACTGATTTCTGCTTTTCCTGTCTCTCTGTCTCTCTCTGTCTTTCTGGCGAGTGCATGTGCCCTATAACAAAAAAATAAAATAAAAATAAAAATAATAAAAATAAAAATCGGATATGGATCGCTAACTTGCCAATCACCTTGTCGCTGGTAGAATCATCATGCTAACTTGTGTGCAAGTCTGGCTTTGGGCGCTTCATTCCGATTTTTCCCTCCATGGGGTAGATCTAAATTTTCATTTGCATTCAGAGAACAAGATCCTGTTTAAGGTACTGACTTCAAACCTGCTCGGAGGGCATGCTTTGCTTTTATAAGGTGAAGTGGGAATGCCACTTACAATAGGATCTTCCAGCTGGTTAAGTTCGGGGTTCAGGTATAGAAGAGTGCATGGGAAACTGTCTATGGGTTTATTTATGCAAAACGTTGATTTTTTTCAATAGATGTGTTGGGATCAAGTCCTAATTTTCTTTCCTACCCTAGTGTGATTCACGCCAGTTGAATTGTGGCTGGATTAAGATGGCCTGGTGCTTTTGGGGCTTGCTAAGTCATGTTGGCCTTGCAATGCCACTCATGTCTGTTGCATCCTGTATCTGCTTATCTTGCCTCTTTTGTGTCCTTCCCAGCCCTGACTCCACTGTCTCTTCAATATGGTGAATTATAGGACTGGGGCAGGGAGGCAGGGGATACAATATCCCAAAGACAATGAGCACTTACCGGGAACTAGCCTTAGTCAGTGGGCCCGGGACTGTGACTGGAGTTTTAACTTCGTTTTGCTTTGTAACCCTTTGTGTAACGTCTTTGCAGAGTCAGTCTTCTCGTGTCTCTGTGGCCAGGAGATTTCCAGTCTGATCTAGTGTGGGGAATGGGCAGAGCGTGGGCCTGTGCAGTGGCTTCTGTGAGACCCCAGGATTCAATATCCCTGTCTGCACATGAATCGCCACGCCTCTCCCCATGGGTTCCACAGATTGGCAGGTGAGGCACCGTTCGGCCACTGTGTGGATTTGACTGAATGGAGTTCCTACTTCCTTGACCTGTCAGGACAGGCTCCTTGTCCTCTGGAGAAAGCTACTGTTGATGAACACTGACCCAACCTCTCCAGTGGAAGAGGAAGGAACCAGGACACGGGTATTCCACAAGCTCTGTGTGGGCAAAACTCGAGCGGGCACTGTGTCTTTGGTGGCTGTCTGTCTCGTTCATTTTCTAGACTATTCCTCTTCATTATCCCAGGCTTGCAATACCTTCAGTTCCTGCTTCTGATCAGGGGATGTGTCTGATGCCGGACCCATCACTCACTTTGATTGCATTGTCCCTTCCTGGAGGTCCTTGCCCCCTGAAAAGTGATCCTAAAAAAGGTCTGTGAAAGAATGTCAGTCCTGCACCGCCTTTATGGAAAAGCAGGTGTTTGTGACTGCAAAGACTTTTCAGCAGTTCTGAGAAATACAAAGAAGGCCAGCTGGTGGTGTGGTGGTTAAATGGCCTGGATTCCACATGGCCAACTATTCAGTTCGAGTCCTGGAACTGGCAGCTTGCAAAACGTGCTGGGTGCGTGGCATGTGTGTGTGTACCTGAAATCCTGAGAGAAGAATGAAGGAGAAAAGACTGAAGCATCGCCACCTCCCCCTGGGGATTGCTTTGTCACTTTTTTCTCCTTTTATCTTTCTTTCTATGTCTCTCTCCAAGGAGTGAAGGCATCCGGCAACAAGCTTAAAAAAGAAGAAAAGCAATATTAAGTAGTGGGAAGATTACTCCAAAGAGAGACAGACTAAAGCCAATTTCTAGTTCTGTGCTTAACGGACTAAGTGAAACTGGACAGATTTCTTTACTTTCCTGAGCCTCACTTTCCATATTTAAAACAGAAATGAAAGCATGTCTTGTTTCTGTCAAAATTAACTCTCCCTCCCCACTCTCCTACCTCCCTCTTGAAGCTGCAGTGTATCTCTCTCAGCCCTCCTTGCTGGAGGGCTCCTACAGGGGTTGTCCAATCTTCTGGATGCTTTCTCTCCTCTGGGGTATTCTTCACAGTGCCTGGGCCCACCCAAGTGTGCCTCCTGAAACCACCGAGTCCCTGAGATGCTTCGTGCATTGTCCCCTTTCACCCTGACCCATGTCTCTAGAGAGGTGGACACTCTCATTTTCATCAATGAGACTCTCTCCCTTGTTCATAGCATCACCACTTTTCCTTGTTACCCAGGCACGAGCTCACCTTGTCTTCTTAGCAACCTGCATAGATTCCCTTTTTTTTTTTTTTCTTTCAATTACTAGAGGGTGTGAGTGCTCACTAGATAAAGGCTGAGAGAGAGGAAAAGAGGGAGGGAGGGAGAGAGGAAGCACCCCCTAATGGATCACGATCATGCTGCAATCCCTTCTCCTTCATCTCTCCATCTTGTTGGGGTTTGGGAGATGCATGTACATGCAGCTGGTATGTTTTGCAAGCCACCAGAACCAGGATCTGAACTGTGGTAGGCCATGTGGGATCTTGCTCCCTTAGTCACTAGGCTATGGGGCCAGGCCAACCTGATTTCCAACTCACCTACTCTTGTGAATTAAAACTACCCTCTAAGCCAAAGATCGTTAACATTTCAGGGATTCTTTGACAAATCTGATAAAAGCTATGGACCCTCTCTTCAGAAAAAGGCACAGAATTTTCCATCAGTTTCAGGGGATCTGTGGAATCCTAGAGGGCCTAATAAGAACAGTAATAAAAATAAAAATGGCATTAACACGAACAGTAATAACTAAGTCCTCAAAGGTTGCATAAAAGCAATAGTAGCAGAAGCAGCAACAATAGCCATGGTAATTCAGTTCCACTAACTTCTCAGAAGCAATACAGGAGCAACAGTTAACAACCAAGGCTTCCGCTGGGAGGCAAAAGGAAGTAGAGCATGAACAGAGGCAGATATGGCCCATTGACCTCACCCAAGTGGACCCTATATCCATGTGGCTGCTGAAAACTCCGTTAAGGTTCTTGGGACCAGCAGTTAGCATAATGGCTATGTCACTGGACTCCCATGTAGTCGACCAGTGTTCGAGTCCTGGACCCTGTGGCTTAAAACTCATGCCGGGTGCGTGCGCGTGCGTGTCCAAGATCCCAAGAGGAGAATGGAGGAGAAGGGATTGTGGCATGGCCATCCCCCCTGGGGGATGATTTCTCGCTTTCTGTCTCTCTGTCTGTCTCTGTCTATCTGGCGAGCTCATGTGCCCTATAGCGAAAACCTCTCCAAAAACAAACAAAGAAACAAAAAAACAAGAAAAAAACAAAAAAAACAGCAAAAACCTTTGTTAAGGTTCCTAACTATTGTGGATCAGTAAGCCAAGTTTCCATGCCTGTTGAAATGTAACCCCTTCTCTATGTGAATATTTTCGGAAGTTATTTCAAAGGGAGGGAAGGGGGGAATCAGACACAACTCACTAGTTGCCATTTTAACCTAAGGCTTATCACTATTAATTCTGCAGACAATTCCAAGATAGTTCCCCCAAAGAGCCCCTTATTGCAGATCTCTTAAGGTCCCTTAAGACAGGGACCTTAATAGCTACCATAATTAAGATTTGCTCAAAGTAGATCTTAGACAAGGATTTGGGTGCTAGTTCATTTAGGGTGGGAGCCCAGGAAGCAGAGTGAGGGCAAGGAGAAGGGAAAGATGAAATCAATAGAGTGTTCATGAGGAGTTACCCTTCCCACATCTGAGAATAGTCCCATGGACCCCTGGAGCTTGTTAGAAATGCAAATTCTATCCCTCTCCTTCCTACAAGACCTATTAAATTGGAGTCCCTAGGGGAAGCTAAGGAATCTGAGTCTTAGTACTCTTTCCAGGTGAAGAAGTTGAGCTAAACTTTGAGAAGCAGTGTACACCCAAATAAAAATTGGTTCCCCAAGGGGGTCCTAAAGGTGGGCATTTATCCAGCAGTGGGTCTTTCTTCAATAACTCAGTGTTGTTCCTGAGGGGTCGGTTCTCCAGAACTATTGACCTCCTCTGTGTAGGTGCCAGGCACTGTCTAAGGCCAGTAAATGCCTCAGCAGAGACACACAGAAAACCCCAGACTCGAATGTGAGTTGCACACAATCAACCTCTAGGTGGGCTAGGGAATATTCATGGACTCTGACAGGTTTGCTTCGAGATCTCTTGTCAAGGTTAAGGCAACTTTCAAGTTTAGGTCTCTCCTCAGTTCCAACTTCTGGATACATTCAATTAGAAGTCCCATCCACAGTTGAAGTTTTAGTCATCTTGCAAACAGGAAGTATTTAAGCAAGTGTTCATCACCCTTCCAGCACTTCTTTCCTGATGACCTTGATCTGGTTAAGAAACAGTTTTGCTGCTTTGACTGGTGAGTTCCTAGAAGCCAACCTGAGTGATAGTCCTCATAGAACTTTTATCTGCATAAAGTCTTATGGGTCACTCTGAAATAAAAATAAACTTTTCTTGGGGCCAGTAGATGATGTTGCAGTTGTATCACTGGATTTCCACATAGGGGACCACAGTTTGAGTCCCCGACTTGGTGGCTTGATACACACACTGGATGCATGTGCATGCATGCCCAAAATCTTGAGAGGAGAGTGGAAGAGAAGGAATTGTGATATGGCCATCCCCCTCGGGGGAGGGGGTGATTTCTCATGTTCTGTTTCTCTGTCTCTCTCTGTCTCTGGCAAGCACATGTGCCCTAGAACAAAAATATCTCTCTCAAAAAAATACACTTTTCTAAAAAAAAATCCTGTCAACACACCCTTTATACATTCTACCACTCCCCCAAATGTTCTGCCTTGTCATTCATCACATAAACAGAGCTGCCTATCACTCCTGTACTGATAATCCAGACCTGGGCCTTGTAGATACTTCCCTTACTTTCACTTCCTTGAATTGGCCATCAAGTGCTATCCATTTACCTTCCTAATAGCTGTCAATCTTTTCATTTCTCTCCTTCCTCCCTCCTTGTCCTTATTTGGAGCCCTGGTCACTTCTGCGTAAGTTTTTCAATTGGTGTCCACGTCACCTGTCTTTTTTTTTTTTTCTTTTTTTGGAGAGGTTTTTGCTATAGGGCGCGTGTGCTCGCCAGACAGACAGAGAGAGACAGAGAGACAGAAAGCGAGAAATCATCCCCCAGGGGGGATGGTCACATCGCAATCCCTTCTCCTCCATTCTCCTCTCGGGATCTTGGGCACGCACGCACACGCACCCGGCGTGAGTTTTAAGCCACCGGGTCCGGGACGTGAATCGCAGTCGACTACGTGGGAGTCCAGCGACATAGCCATTACGCTAACTGCTGGTTTCCCACGTCAGCTGTCTTAAATACATTTTCTATGTAATTGTCCCACCTGTCTTAAATACATTTTCTATGTAATTGTCCCTATGATCTCCTTCTCACACAAATCTGATCATGAAGCTGTTCTGAATTCTCTTCCTGGTTCCTATCGCCCAAGGATGAAAGCCTGATTCTGACCCACCTGCAGTACCCTGTGTGGTACCCACACAGAACTCCACAGTACCTGAATAAGTCAGGCTCCCTGTGGTCCTCAGCCTGGCTTACTCTTCCTTCTCAGCCCCTTCCTCATATCTTCTGTCCCAACCCTGGCAAGGCCCATACCCCTCCAAGGGCATTCCAAAGAAATCTGTGCAGACTTTCCCATTAACGCATATCACACTGGAATGAAGGGCCCGCTTATCAGTCTGCTCTCCACGCTGGATGATAAGCTTCCCACGGGAATGAACCAGATCCCACTTACATTTCTCTCAGCACTACCAAGAACAATGCATGGCGTAAAGTGCAACTTCAGTCATTTATTCAAGTGAGGGGACAGATGAGTGGATGAACTGTGATGCAGTAGATGCTCAGCCAAAGTTGGTTCCCTCCTCCTTACATCCCCTCTAGTCCTGGCACACTAGGCAAATGCCTGGTCTGTCTCTGAGCTGTCTGTTCTGAGTATCAGGACATGCTACCTTACAGACTGGGCTGCAGTGACAGACTGCCCCTGCCTTCAGCCTCCTATCTTAACGTACCATTGTGCAATGTTGTGCCTCAATTTTCGTAGCCATTCATTTCAAAGTTTCTTTTCTTTTTT